ATGGTGATTCATATGCGTAATTAATACTTTCGAATTTCAATTACAAATATATTAAAATCAATTAATCGAAAAAGATCTACCTATTACATCTACAAAAGCACTACTAAGATTTGCAATTAAGATCTTTCTCTTCTTCCTAAATCTCAATCATTGAGAAAAAATGTAATAAACTGTAAATCATTTAGCTTTTTATTATATCTTACAAAGTGGCAGTAAGGCACTGTCTATGTTAGCGCGATTTGTACAAACTGTTCTAAAGCTCAAACATCCAAAAATTTAATCGTTGAAGTACGGATGAATTAAGCACTGCACATGGGAATACATTTTGAATTGATATAAAGAAGCCAAGTGATGATGATTAGGCTATGATAATGAAAATGAAAAATGACTTAAGTGATATAATCGATCGGAGCAATTTTATTCTATATAAAGAAAATCAAGTCCCAATCAAACTGAATATGCAAATGCTACCGCTGATTTAGACCGAATGCTCGACAAAATTTAACGACCTTTCGTCTTTTCTATTTGTAATGCAAATCAAATTTTATGCGATTACATGTAAAGATTCAAAAATTTTGCTCGCTTCATAACATAATTCTGTTCATTATCACATAAAACTGGAATCCATCTGGACTTCTGTAACAATGCAATTAAAAGCATAAGAATGTGTATGGTTTGGAATTTTAAGCTTTACTTAATTCTTACAAGCAATACTGAAATAAAACAATGGAAGAAGTAAATAATTGTATAATTAAAAAACCATCTTAAAAAAAGTGGAAATCAAATACTTGAAAAGAATTATAAAGAAATGACAAAATAGTCGTGTACTTACAGCAAATAATGCGTAAAAATTTTAAGCATTGAATAACCAATGATATGACTGATAAAACGTGAAGAGGAAATGGTGAAATATGATATGACAGGGTGATGTGATATGATAGTGAAAACAAAGCGTTACAACAGGCAAAAAAAAAATAAACGAATATAAGAGTATGATAATCCTATTTTCCGCATATGATGAATTAATTCACGGAACACTGATATGTCGAATTCTCGGGAGAACGAATCTTCATTGTCAACATGCAACCAACCAACACACATTCTTATCGTAACAATCATAAACAATTATGATTATTATCATTATTAGTATTAATATTATTATCATTAGAGAGCTGACATTTCTAACAATGCATGACAAACAATGAGTGATGCTTGTCAATTCAATGCATACATGAAATGATTATCAGATTATCATTGTTAACTTTGGTCATATATAAACCAATTAAGCCTATGTAACTTAAATTAACTAAATTCAATAGTTATGCACACTTTAGTTATTTTTTAATTATAAATAACCGCTGCAAGAAATTAATGGTAAAAAATGAAGCTAAGCCTATTATACTCTGCTTATAATAAAATGATTTTCTCCATCAGTGAATGAGAAATGATGGCAAAATGAGCAAATAGATAAATGAATTTGATAAAAACAATGAATTTTCAACAACCAGCAACAATTCCGTAAACGCAAGACGAAATTGACCAAAAAACAATAAATGATAAAAATCACTGCTTTAATCATACAAAATACAAGTTCTAAATAATAGACAGAAAGAGCAAGACTAGACATGTCATCACAACAACCATCTTAAACAAATTCAAAAAACGTTACACTCAATTTCTCTATAATAAATTTAACTAAATTTGATAAACCACAAAAATTTGAAAATTATGTGATGATTAGTACGTGAATGACATGACTGAGATTGCAAATTCTATTAATTACAATTATGCATCATCGCTTGAATTCACAAATAAGCAATGAAACTTTACCCATCACTGAGCTAAGGAATAATTGTTTTGCAAAGCACTAATTTGCATTATGCAATAGCAAATTAATTAATGATTAACGTCTCCAAAACCACTGTATTAGTCAAAAAACAACGAACAATTAGGTAATGAGAAAAGATTGCACGACCCGCACCTGCAATGATTTATTTATAAGAGTACTCTATGAAATAAATTTTATGCAGTTGGACTATGCATGTATGAAAGGAAAATAAATCTTATAAAAACAACTCTCTTCTCAAATTTATAAAATTTATTTTTAAAATTATCAAAGAAATAATAATCATCTAAAATAGTCTCATTCTGAACCCACTCTACTGAAAACAGTAAACAATTCAATTATGCAAATATGTGCACACAAATTATTACTAGCATCATATAACTATCTATAACCAATGGAATGAATCACTAGCAAAATACAACTTCGTATTCGTGAATAACGATGAAAACTAAAAATGGTATGATAACATATCCATAGATGCAAGTTAAATTTAATGCAAGTTAAATTTAATTGAGCAGAGTTAAAAAAATTATTAGAGATGTTTAACTGAAAAAGACTTTGCAATGATCAAAAATTTAGCATAAGTCAGATCAACTTCTAATACCAACAAACAAAATCTTGCATCAGCTATATATCATTGCACAGTTTATTCTCATAATCATTAAAATTTTAACAAAAACCAAGCCTGAAGTCGTTCTTATTGTTGGATTGGCACTATTTCTTACGAATTCAATCTATTCATCGAATTAGTTAACCACAGCACATTGTACGATTTCTTTACTCTTCTATCAATAGATGTTAAGTTGAAGTAGAGCAGATAATTAAATCACTGCAACAAGGCAAACTAATATTTTAGCAGAAAGTAATTTTGAACTGATATAAAAAGAGGATATCACTACAATTTGTAAGTCGTACATTAATAATTATTACTTTGAACAACAAGTAATAATTAAGCATAGTATGATGGAAAAAAGTACTTCATTTGCATGTATCATTTGAAAAAATCAAACTAATCAAACCCAAAATGCAATTTTTTGCTAGAAGTGCACGAGAAGCAAATAATCCTAGTAATCATCAGAAAAAAAAGTTAAGTTTTTAGCAAATACATAAAAACACAAATACTACTTGTTGTCTTAAGCTCAAAATAAACTTGACAAAAAATCAAAAACTGAGTTAGAGAAAGATTTGTTGACAATTCAAACTATAATCACATTTAAGAAGTAACACTTTTTCCACCTGATAATCACAATATAAATAAAAGATCTGGTAAATATTGAAAGTACGCTCTGCAAGTACTTGCTTCCAAATATTACATTTCGAATGTATCAAACTTGACTGATACAATAACAACCTGTGTGAATACTTTGTGAATAGTCATTAAAAAGTGAGTGGAAAATAAAGATACAAAAAGTTATAATCACAAAAGTGTCTTTTGATGTAATACAGATCTCAGTAAAATCAGTTTTTTTAAGAATATATAAATCTCGCATGATGACTGCAAAAAATAAACTGTTCTTAGTATCTGGTTACTACCCATAAAAATTTGAACAATACGCTATTCGAAACAGCACTGCATATCATTGCAATATTCGAAAATTAATAATTACTCGTAAACCAAGCTAAATTTCTGAAAAAGATCCCTAGATTGTTTTTGCAGCGAATCCATAAAAATGGATTAGCTCAAAAAGATGCACTTGTGCTGGAAATGTAAGAATAGTTATTTACTAAAAGCAGATAGATATTTGTCTAAAACTTCAGCAAAATTTTAGCAGAAATAGTAAGCCTTTTATATGCAGTTTTTTTATCTTCTTCAGTTGAAAATTATAAAAATCTTCCATTTTACCAAATCAATTAATTTATTAAAATACTTTATAAACATTGCTTTTTTGACCTATAATTTTGATAAAATGAAACATTTGCAATAAATGCAATTTAGAGCTATTTTTATTACTAGTAGTACAAGTGCATTTTTCAATAAACTCAAGAATCAGAGAACCAAATTTGAGTTTGATTCAAACAAAACAAACATTTGGCACTTACTTTTTTAAACAAATCATCATAAAAACTTTAATGATGTGATTGTTTGAAAATAATTAAGAATTTTTCATATTTTTAGGCATTGACTACAGCAAAGAAATTTTCACTTATATGTGTCACAATTTTTTATACAACTTTTTTGATTATTTACGTCTTTGTTATTGAAAATTTGAACTATTTTTGAAAATTTCGAAGCACATCTTGTTTAGATATCACAAAAATTAAACGATTAAGATAAAAAATTGAAAAAAACACCGAAATATGATAATAAAAAAGGATAATGCAAAATAATATGCAGTATTTGTTCTAAAATGTCTATCAATTCAGACAAGATTGGTTACGTCTCTATTATATACCACTTTTTGAGAATGATACTCGAAGATGCGCGTTTTCAGCTAGTTTCAAATTATGCATCTCAATTAGCGCATTTATAGCAGTTTCCACATCATTCAATTGCAACAAAGCCATTTTGTGGTCTTTTCTGAAAAAATACTTTGAATTACAGTAGCATTTCCTCCATGTTTTTTCAAAAGCTGATAATCATGATTTAATCAGTTATGAGAGTTGTAAAAGCACTGTACATACGCGCTCTACTTTACCTTATCCCGTCACAATATAAATTCTGTGATAAATATATTCACTGATTTCATATATAACATTTTTGATAACTATCTTATTAACAGCAACCATTTAAGAGATAATTTTACAAAATGTAAAAAGAAAAAATTCAAAAATTTCTAAAACAAACGGAAAAAATTTAAAGCCTTTAGGGAGATATCCACGTTGTTCAAATGCATTAGTAAGAAATTCCTCTGTAATATTAGGTGGTATGTTTGAAAGATGAAGAGTGGAACTTGGCGGATAAATATTCAAGTAATTCTTGCTGCCAGGTTTTTTGAAACGATGTAACGATGATTGAGAATAATCACGGGTCAATCCAGCATCTGGCTGCCCTAAAAATAAATGATTATAGAAATGAACTTTTACAACATTAAGCAATGTGTAATTTACACTTGTTGAATAAAAGTAACCTTCTTTTGGCATCTGTACAGTGCTGTGTCTTGAAGTTGCTACACGAATGTTTTTATCATGCCAGCGAACTTTATCCAGATGTTGAATGGCTTAAAGATACAAATGCACAAATTGAAAAAAAAAATATGAAGCTCAAATTCCATAATATGTGTTCTATATATTATTTTTCTCATATTTTAACCAACGTTTCACCACTTGCACAACTAATCAAGTGGCATTTTAGACTTGAATATTTTATCTCAACTGTTGCATGTAAGAATGAGATACACTAATTTTCAGTGCTTTATAAGAAAAATTATGTAAAAAATTATTCGTTTCAAGATTACTAACCTAGTTGTGCTTGTTGTGGTTCAGCGTATTGTATCAAAGCGTTATCCTTTTTGTTATACAAGATTTTAACGCGATGTACATCACCATATACTCCTAAAAAATTCTAAGCCTTAATCTCTGATTTTATTTCTTAAAATGCTTCAAATGGCTAATAATACATTTGCAAATATATTATTTTACGAATAAAAAGCGCAATTTTGTACAGACTGAAACTTAAACGAGTTGTCCATAGAAAGACAGAGAATAAAGCAAGATTAATACTATTTGTTAATTGAAACATAAATTATGGAGATAATTTACTATGCTAAAAAAGCTGCAACTTCTAGCTGTTCAATAAAAAAAGCAAAAAATGAAAAAAAGAAAAAAATTTTATGACAAATTGTAGCTCTACAGCAAATTTTTGCGAAATTAAATTGTTTTTTTGATATTAAAACCAAAAGAAAACCAAAACAAGTTAAAAAATATCATATCATAGAGTGTCAAATTTACAAATTACAATTTAATAAAAAATTTTTAAAACCAAAGTTGCTAGGGATACTGTATTAGGAACTTAGAAAAGAAAAGGAATCCAGAAAAAGACTGTGATAAAAAAATATATGTGTAATTAGGCGTTATACGTGTGTACTAAAAACTCAAAAGCAAGTTTGAAATTAAAATTTTCGAGTTAAAAAAAAATCTATCTTACTTAACACTACATTTCTTTGTTTTTCCCTCTGAATACAATTTACAGAATGAAATTTTCTTCTAATATATACATATAAAGTATTATTTATGCAAATTTCATCCGTTTTATGTATGCGTAAGTAATTGTGCTAGATAGCATAAGTAAAAAAACTGATACCATAGAATGGGCAGATAAAAACATAACCAAATAACAGTTAGCAAATGTTGAAAGTGCAATAACAAAGCATACATTAAAGTGATAATTTTTTTTACTTTCATCAAAATATCAAGCATACTTGAATGTACCTTTGATTAATGCTTTTAACTTTTTGTATTCAAAAATAAAACTGAATTTTAAAACAAACAAAAATGATAAAGAGAACAATCACACATACCGAAAAGAGTGAAGAGAGCATCTGGCGTAACCTTCTGAAAATAGGACAGAGATAGTCAGCGTGTGTTTGGTGTTTTTCTATGTGTGAATAGAAAAAATTGGAAATGAAAAGCAAGCATCAGTCAATTAATTCTGAGAAAGAATGGAAAAATTTAGAAATCAGAAAACGATCTATTCTATGCATATATATATATATATATATCTATATATTCTATATATTCCAGCATATCCAACGCGCTGTATTAGAATACATTTTTTACAATATATTCATTCATTCCATTCCATTCCATGGTTAAAAATGAAGTAAACATAGGAAATAAATGATAATTAGTGATTGTATAAAAATTTCATCTTTCTTCATCAGTGATAACAGAAAATTTTTAATGATTAATAGTAAACTATTATTATCCACTTTTTTTCATTTCAATTCAAAACAATTCCAAAAAAGGATACTTCAAAATACAATTAAATAACGTATCTAGCAATAAGATTATTCTGCATGAGGTGCAACCTAACTTTCAAGTATTCACTCCCTGATTCTTATTGCACCATTTATTTTGTCAATACTTTGATTATACTTTAGATAGAGTTTATCAACTTTTCGTCAATGAAACTTGGTATGATGAATTGTATTCTCACTGGATATGCAGTTAATATTTCTCTCTTTTTTAAATTCATTAATAATAATAGGTTTGTATTTTTTTCATATTTGAATGCATAATTTTATTTAATAATGAATACGTATTAGTTAAAATTAAATATTTGTCATAGCACAAAATACTGAAAAATTTAATAAGTTTTACATGAAAAATAATATGACAGATGAATGTGAGCAATATAAAAATGGTAAAATGTTTTTAATAAACGAACTAACATTTTCATCAAGATTTGAGACAAGCACTACGGACGAGATATTCAATACACCAACGTGAGGAAAGCGAAGTGCTGCAGTGGTTGCGTTAATCATAGCTGCATTAGCTGTAACCGGACTTGTGGCACCAGATGCTAACGTAGTTGTTAACCCGGTGAGAAATGGTGAGATTCCTGATGGCGATGCTAACGCGTCTAAAATATCACCAAAAAAATTAAAAAATATGTACTGTCTTGCAGTTAATTACTTAAAATGTAACAAGTAATACCAGCTTGTGGAAATGCAGTAGCTTGCTGCTGAAAAGGATACTGAGGATTTGTACCAAACTGAAAGGCAAACGGTGATTGCACAAGTGATGCGATTGTTGGACCTATTTGTCCACCAGTTGCTGCTGATACTAAAATATACTGTTATAACAGTGAACTTCTGCTACATGCTAAAACGCTATGCAAGCTGCTAAATGTGTTACGATAAACTTTTAAATAACATAGTTGCTACTTTTTTTCAAATTCCATCTAAAAGATCTTATTTACTTTTTTTTGTATTTTAAAAATCATAATTATGATAACATAATTAGCATAATATTTTAATTTTGCTAATTTTTACCTATAAAATAAATATATCCATACATTCATTTACTGTATTTTTTGAAATTTTAAAAATTACATGGAAGCAAGCTAATGTATACATACGATCATAGCATCATTTATCACTAAACTTACTGGCAAATTCTTTCAATATGAACAGTTAATATTTTGCAAATGTTCACTCACATATACGGTTATAATTTTTTTGCGCCGCACCTACCAATTTGCTAAACTTACAATTAAAAAAAAGTTAACTGCTTACTACTTTAGATACTAAAAAATGATTAGCAAAGTGATTTTTGACTAAAAATAAAGCATTAACAAAAGTCAAAAATTCATTCTTTTTGACTTCTATAAGATTATCAAAGAATAAAAAGAAGTATTGAAAACTCTTCATCAACCTTCAAAACTTTATTAAGAGATATATTATTTAAGATGGCATATTTGTTAAAGTTAGTGCATAAGCTGCAAAATTTTGCTCAAGTAATGATTGTAAAGCACAATGTGCACAGCAATTCCATGCATTTGATAAAACCATACTGAAAATAAATACTATAACACTTTTTAATTGCGTAATTTTTAATTCTTTGCCAATGAATAAATATGTTTTGCTCATTTTTAACAAGATGAATAAGAACCTAAAATGACTAACCAAGACTAAGCTGCTGTTCCAGAGTTAATTCACCTGATGGTAAGTTTGGATTAGTATAGTCGCGACTCTTATCATTGTTATACTTCACATTTAATGTGGCAAGTTTACTGTAATCAATGCGCAGACAACAACAGCCATTGTAGACATTCTGCCCATCTAATGACTGCCGAGCTAATTGCGCACAACTTGCTTCACTCAACTGAACCAAAGCTTGAAACGTATCTAAAATTCATGCAAAATTGTTATTGAATAGAAAATTCCTTAGTATTAATTTGATAAAAATTTCGGAAAATAACTTTGTATTGTAAAGAGATGAGTACATTTGTCAGTATCAATAGTAGTCAAGAGATGATAAAATTTATATTTGTTTATATTTGTTGTACTGCAGCTACAGCACTAATAGCAGCAGAAAAAGTAAAGAGTGATTATACTCAAAAAATTGATGAATAAATACTTCTAATCATATACTCAAAGACTTACTGAACAATTGATGGCCATTATTAAAATTAATTATCTTCAGAGTTTAACAATCATTTCAAAGCAAAACAGAAAATAAACTCTTAAGGCCAAACACAAGCTATCTTTCCCACCACAACTAACAATCAAACAGAAAAATTTGGACCAAATTTTCGTTAAGCTTTGTATGCACAAACTGGTAGTTAAACTCGCTGTTGAGAATAAATGTAAATACCGAAAAAGATGTGTGATTCTTTTGTAATACAAAAGCAGCTAATCATTATTACTTCATGTCAGCAATATTATCTTTCAGTTATGAAATGTAACGGAAAAGAAAAGTAGTGCAACAAAAGTTCCTCTGAATCTTGTTAGTAATGTATGTGCAAATAAATTGCTAACTATTTTTGTTGAAAGTGATGATACGAAGGACTTTTCCATATCTAGAAAATATCTGATGAAGCACATCAAGAGTGACAGGATAAAGCATATTCTCGATAATGACACGAAGTACTGAATTTGGTTGTTGTTGCGTACAAGCAGCAATATCTAGTGCGGAAGTGCTGATTGGAGTGACACCTGTAGCTGTGGAACCATTGCCTAACACAAGCAAATTCGATGTCTGTAATTAAGAAACAAATATTGGTTTAGAGCAGATTGCAAATCTTTGAAATTTATAAAAATACTAATTTATTAATTTCGATCCAACCAAAATATATATAAAATTTTTAAACCTTTGGGAAGAGCAGACCAGCTTTAATTTATTCAGCACTATACTGCGTTATATGAATTCCAGCAGTACCTTGGTTTTAAATTACCATAGCAGAACACGCAAAAATTTTTAATAAAAAATCTAATAATGTTGAATAATACAGAAGATAATCAACTACTTTTTTGCCAGAAGTTAAACACTGCTCGAGTAATTTATTTCCGCCATTACAAAAACCATCCTTCAGAGGTTTACCATTCAACACGTGTATTTTTTTAAAGCGAAAACTAATAGCATTCATAGATGGTAATCCAAGCCACGTAACACTTCATCATCATTTAATGCTCTTGTTTTTTCATTATTTTTATTATTTGTTTTGCATATAATTGACTGAATAAAAAAATAACGAAAATGAGCCTTTTCAATACGATCAAACTTAGATCAAACTGAATGCGATTTATTTAATTCATCGATACAACTTTTTATCGTCACAGATCAGACAATAAAAAATACGCTCATAATTTAACTGTTTTTGCTTAAATTTCTGGCGTCCAAAAGTTCTAGCAATCAACAAGCAGTTCAAAGATGATGAAAGCTGATATATATACACTGTCATATGCAGACAATGCCTCAGTGATGAAAATGTTCAGGTCATAATGTAAGCAAGAAATCTAGAAAAAGTAGTCTGACGATTTTGTTCATGTGAAGTTTAGGCAACCAGACGATAGATACCATTTGTGGGTCTCGTTGATACTGTGACTGTGATGTTTGCGATTGCGCTTGTTGCGATTTTCGTGACTGATCCATAGATGAATGCTGCTGTTGTTGCTGTCTGTTATGAACAGATTCTTGTAAATTATTGATTTGTAGAAATTCTTGATAAGCACTTGGATGATGACGTTTACTACTGTTTAAATAACGAATGTTACCGTTGATACTAGCAGCAGCAGAAGTAATTAGCTGTTGTGATGATTCTTGCTGACCAATTATAGGCCTTACAGGCGATGCAGCCATGCATGTGGCTGTCAAGGTATTACAGCTTCTTTGCTGAATTTCTGGTAAAATTTCGAAAAATCTGTTGCCGTTAAATTTTAGGCACGTTTTTTTATTACTTGGCGTTGCTAATAAGGTCTCCGAACAAGTATTGTAATACCTACTACTACTATATGTCTTATAATTAGAGTTGCTTTCACAGTTTGTGTTCGATGATTTTCGCTTGTTACTACCGGTACTTGATGATGTAATCGCACTATTTGTAGGATATTTCAATGTATTATCATGAAAGTTTCCTAACGTGATAGCAGGAGATTGAATGTTGGGATATTGCAAACGAAAATAATTAATGTTGTTAGAAATGCTTGCGGGAGGACGACTAAATGACGCAGCCTGCCTTAGATCGGTCGTCAATAAAGCTGCGGTTGGGCAGCCGCTGAAGTGGTCGAATACAGAAGTATTCAGGATATCTCGGGAATGGCTTATCTGTTTAATTATACTACCGGCAACGGTATCTGGAAACAAAGTTACCGCTGCTGTACTGGATGGCGTAATGCAAGACGGTAACGTTTTGAAGTATTTTCAAAAATCTCACCAACTTTTGTTGTGGCTGATTTGAACGGCGCCGAATTTAAAGTGACAGATAGCAATTAGCTCTATCACGACTATTTAATAAAAATATATTGTTTCTTGTTTTGTCAAAAAGTAATAAAGAAATCTTTTAAGAAATTACTGACTTCAGTAAATTTTAATTTCTTTCCACAGTGATTTATGGTAATAATTATTGTTCTGGCTGAAATAAGTAACAGTAATGCGGAGACTACTAATAGTAGTAGTGATTTTTTTCTAATATTCGAAGTGCAAAAATGATGAATTCAAGAATAAATAATGCGAAAAAAGTGGTGCTAATTAAGCAGTATGGAATGTTGTTTCATGTATTAATATTGTTTGAGACAGTTTAATATAAATTAGCAGGAAGATTGCGTGATTTCAGAAATCTGAATAAAAAATCAAAGCAGAAGTGAATGCATGTCTTACAAAAGTAGCAGTAGTCTTTGTGTCAACTTCGCTCTGTATCAAATGCTCAAACTCTAGCAAATGACCACTGATTGAATGGTCAAGAGATGATAACAGCAAAAATAGTTGACAATATATTTTAAAATGAGTTCGCTAAAAGTGTGTATTGAAATTTGTTGAACAATGGAAAGTAAGTAAGTGGAATCAGTAATAAAGTGAAAATATGAAAAATCTCGGGTACTATACAACTGATGATAGAGTAGAAGAAATAGATAGAGCAGGATAGGCAGAAAATTAAAGCAGAATGAAAACAGTGAAAATAACAAGTATAATACCAATTTAAATGCAGTAAATAATGGTGAAGTGATAACAATAGTAATAATGCTATTAATATTAATGATAGAGATAGTAAGAAATTTCCTGGAAAAGAAAATGTCAGCAAGACAAAAATTGGCTCATTTTTAATTGCTGAATTAAGATAAAGCGTTAATACGTAAAACAAGTATGAATAAATATCTCACGGGAATTTTCCTTTCAAACAACCAATCAGTATTAGAAAATGCAAACGAAAATCTCATTAAGCAAAGCACAATTAAATTAAAGTACGCTTTAAAAAAAGAAATATTTTCAACAGAAAAATGTCAGCTTTATTTAACAAACAAATATAAAAATGACAAAAAAAAAATGCAAATCCACTACTCATTACCAAAAAATGTCATACTGCCTCTCGCATCAGTAAAAAAATTTTACAAGCATTTCTAATGATTTTACTTTTTGCAAATTCTTTCTCAAATTACTTTTATTTCCTTGCCAACTATACAAAAATAATTTGATCCAATAATTTTTTTTTCCGATTTGCTATTTTGCGTGTTTTTCAGCATACAAAAAAGACGATAAAAAATAAGCAAAAATAATTTCTTTGTAACCAGTAAAAGCTAAGTACCACAGAATTTTGCCATTTGCAAACACCATCAAGAAGTACTAAAGAAAACAAATAAATCGCTTAATGCAAAGTGTAGTGTACACTTACTCATTCATCTGGTATAGGATAGATTCTTCTCTTGAAAGACTGCTTGCACCAAATCAAGACAAAAAAAGAGATATCAACTTCGAAGCATCACTACCACTCATATATTATAGTGCTAACATTCCCTAATTTTAATAGTGTGAAATCAATTAACCTTCAACAATCTCGTCTTTTACACAGTTCTAAATTATCATTTTAAATACATTTTTCACTAAAATTTTTTGTATGCAATTGCTTTATTCTTCAAATTGCACCATATTTATTACTGGCAGTGTTGATAAAACTTGCATTGTATTCAAAAAGGTCCTTTCAATTTTTGTTTTTTCTGGCATTTACTACAAACGAAATATTGAATAAATTTTATTTCATCTCATGTACAAGTAAGTCATTACTCTAATTACTGATTTTGCTTCTGCATGCTCAAAATGAAGTATTTCAAACGGACGTGAAACAATATTTTTGATCAAAATAAATGATTGTATGCCTCTTATTGCTAATTTACCATAATTTATTTTATTGCTTTGCTGTTGATATGAACATCTGCTTACGTTGCATCATTTTATATTATTGTGTGAATATTAAATATAAAATTATGTACGACAAAAGTATTACTAAAATTGCACTCACACATCTGTAAAAAATAAGACCATTTTAGTGAACCACTTAAGTGATTTTGAATACACTAGTTAGTTGATTCTTTTGCATGCACATAATCATAGGCTAAGATAAACATGTTACTTAACATTCCCATGTTTAAATGTAAAGAAATATTATCATGGTATCCTTTGCAAAAAAAAAAATTATGAAAAAAGTATGCGTGATCACTTTTACCAAGTAACTATCATTAGAATTGCATTTTTACTTTAATATATACTAAATTTTACTTCATTTTGCTATAATCTCTCTTTTTTTATATAATTATAGAGCAGAAAAATAAAAGTGAACTGAAAGAATAAACTGTAAAGAAAAATTCGAAAAAAATTCGATTTATTGGACAGTATCTAAGTATTACAAGTATATTGAGTTATTGGAAAATAAAATTGTGCGGCATATTCACCCGCCGCTTGATTTACCGTTCCAAGAATAAGCATCAACTTTCTCCGAGATTATTTTCCGCGTCTACTTTGTTTGGTTTATCTCACGTTCCTGAGCCTCTTGCATTAGTACATGGTACTTCTGCTTTACGTCTAAATAAACCTTGGATTCATGTAGCATGTTTTGCTCGAAGTAACGTGTTTTATGTTTTGACACGCCTGGTTGACTTTTTCAAGAACCGTTTCTGTAGCACAAACGGCCTTAATACTCGTAATCACAGAATTTGCTTGCATCTTCAATTCTTCGAGGGTAATTGCATACAAGAACTTCTCGCTATGCAAGGAATGACATGAAGGCCATCCCCCACTCGCCATCTTCCAGAAACGATTAAGAACTGCTTTCAGCATTTCCCCTGGCAGCTCCTCTGCAGAACCTTGATTCCCCTAATGAGTACTTCGAGCGTAATCATCCTACTGGTTTCCGATTTTGGTAAGCTGGCAGAGTGCCTTCCTACATCTTTCACGGAGCTTTTCACAACCTCATCTGCCTTCCCATTGCTTTCTACTATGATGCCAGAAGTAGTTTTTCTCCATTCATATTCCATTTTCTTCTCAGATATCCTGACTGTAAAACAACACAGTATCCTTCCTTCTAATTTCGATCTCTTTCTGCAACAGTCTTTTTTTCGTCTCTATTTATCTCATTCGTATCAATCTCCCTTGTTTCGTCTTCGTTCCTTCAGAAGTACTGCAACAAAGGGCTGCATGAGCATGTTATGCCACCTGGAACTGCCTTGCAAGATCAGTCATGAGTTATATCGTCTGACACTAAATTTTTTTTTGCTTACATCCATTATATCGCTATAAACAATAACTACATGAAACATGATTTCAGAAAAGTAAACAATCTTAGCAATTGAAGATGAAAAGTGAAATATGGAGATGGAGTAAATGTGAATCAAAAGATTGCCTGGGATCAAAAAACTTTGAAAAATTCCCTTTCTTTTAAAAATAGTTTTCTCTTGCAACACATAGCAACAGGTGGTGGTGATAAAAGCAAGCCAAAAAATAGAAATGATATAAACTTGGAAAATTTTGACTAAGTATAAAATTTTTTACTTCTGTGATTTTAAAACAGCAACTTTTATGAAGTTTTTTCAGATTTTATTATAACAGAAAGTAAGTGAAACTCTGCAGAGTAACTGCTTTCTACAAGTTATTCTTTATTTGTTTGATAATTGCAACGCAATTTTAGCTTAGAAAGTGCTGAGCTGAATTCGCAGATAAAAATGAAAGCCGTTCATTTCTGAGTAATAATTTGCGTCCTTCAATCATATTTCAATGCTTTAAATCTCTTTTATAACACTATTGAACTACATTTTTTAGAATAATCTCCAACTATAGCTTTATTAGTTATTACTGCTCATATTCTTGCAAATCAAAGAAACAATTTAGAATATCATTATAAAAAACCAGCGAGTTTTTAAATTCTACACACTTATAAATTTTCATTAAATAATCTCAAGTGAGAACCAGCCATAAAAAGCAAAGAACACAATTATATTCTGTTACAACACTGTAGTTTTATTTGAATTATATCAACTTGAAAGAGCATATTGTCATTTACTAAAAATATTAACAGCAATTCTATATAATCCATATAAATTCACTACGATCAGTCATAAAATGCCTAACTCTGAAAAATGTTAAAATTATAAAATTGATATTTGGAGACAAGTATGAGCTGGTTGTGAAAGAGATATTATACTAATATAATTATTTCTGGACACATAACAAATACACTGTAGGAATATCAAGACAGAAAATAGAAAAACAATTACTGCGTGATCTTATAATTGCAGTATTAATAATCTCGATGGAAATAAATGTATGACATATTAAAGGGTTAAAGTGAAGGTCGAATGCAAATTAATAAAGGAAATCTAGAAAAAATAAAATGAAAACTTCCTTTTTATAGGTTAAAAAAAATGTGCAGAATACAGAAAATAATGATCAATCGTTGCTCGCTAACAGAAACCAAAAATACACAACTTTGAAAGATAATCCCATAAAAATTTTACAATAAAAAATGGTAATACTAATAAAAATGTTCGAAAATGGTCCCCACAAATATTGCAATTTCTTTTTTTTTTTGTACAACTTACAAGTAAAACATGATATGGTCTTCATATTACTTATTATAACCATTTAAGTTAGAAGACTTTCAACATAACAATTTGGATTTTATTAAAAAATTTTAATCAAAAAAAGCAAATATATGCATGCATGTATATGTATATACAAGTCTGCATAAATGACACATACTTGTTCAAATACGAGGCAACAACATAAATTTGGAGAAAAAAAACACAAAAAATTGGTTTTTCAGACGAAAAACTAATATCATACTGAAGAGTTTGCTATTGTCATGAAATTATTACAATGCAAAAAAAAAAAATTGAAATTTGATGATGATTTTGTATCACTAAACAAACACATCACAAATAGAAAATCGCTGCAAACATATTTCAAGCAAAACTTCTAAATGGGAAGGAAAGTACCGTTTTGAAAGGATCCATATGGTAGCAATTAAAAGCAATGAATCCAACCAGTTTTATTCATCATTTTACGACATTTTTTTACTTTGCTACAAACTATCAGTCCAACAACTTGTCAAATTTCGACAACTATATTTTATGAGTATGAAGTTGCATTGGTAATGCAAAACAACAGTGAAGGGAAAACAAAAAGTTCAAATTTTACTCGGATAAAATTGCTATTATAATAGTAAAAACATCTAAACATACTTCATCAAATCTTGTTTTATTTTCAACATTTGCAATTATTAATTTCTTATAGAAATTACGGAAATGAAAATTTTTCAAAAAATGAAAAAAATTTTTAACAAATAAAATTAATGATACTAGCAATTTCGTATAATTTTATGATAAATGATTGAGAATATATTTTTATGCATTTGTATTAAGCAAGTATCGACTGAAGATGAAAATATTTGTGAAAAGCAGCTCAAGTAAACGCTAATTTCTTGTTTAATTAAATGCTACATTATTTTAATTAAAAATTAGTTCTGAAGAGCTCTTTCTCATACTTTCTCGAGTTGTTCACACGTACAAAGTCTTATGTTTTAAGAACTAAAAATACGAAGCATTCATTAAAGTAAATAATAATGAATTTGCATTTCAAAGGGAAAAAAGGAAATGTCAAATTCAGTGAGCAAAACATGATTTTCAACAGAAAAGTTTGTGTGTTGTGTTAAATAAACAATCTAGCACTAAGGCTGCTTTAATGAAAAATTAAAATAGAATTAAAAACTTGGAAGGAAAGATAATAATGAACAGGTTAATCACGGAAAGTGTGCGAAGTCAATCATTTTTACCTGAGGAAAATTACATTCAGTGGAAAAAATTGAGGAAACAGTAATAAAATTTCAAAAAAAAGTGTCAATGCCGATTTGCTGATTATTTTAATATTAATTTTAACTTTCTGCTGCAAAAGGCCAAAATAAATAACACACATTTAATTTTTTTTATTTTGTAATTTGTGTGGTTAATAAAATTACCAAAAAGATTCATCTCCTTGGGAAAGTTGAAGAAAAATAGAACGTTGCAGTATATTTCGATGTGGTAGGTAGAAGTGATTTTTCTTGAAAGACTATGGCATCAATTCAGGATAGGAATCAAATTTTTATCAAGTAATGCGAAGAAACAACTGAAGGATTACAGCAGTAAAAATGCAAAAAAGAATTTTTACGGAAAATAAATTTGTTGTTTTATTTTTCCAAAACTTTCATGCAAATTACTTCTATAACTTCATGTTGTAAATTTTATGCAAATAAAAGTTATCGAAAAACTTATTACAATGCAGAACTTAATACAAAATTGTCCTTCTTTTAACTACATCTAATTAATCAGTCGAGTAGTTTGTATGAAGTATGCATTAGAGAGAATTCCAGTTTA